TGTGACCTCTTCCCAAACACTTGAAACATTTTATTTCACTATTCCTTGTCTTCTTAGGGGTCTCATTGGACTTAATTTGAGTCCTTTGAGGTGCAGCAGTGGGGTTGCTTGATGAAGTACCTCCCTCCTTCTTATTTCTGTCCTTCCAACTTGAAGAATTAAAATTAGAAGAGTTTTTCCTCATGACACCCTTTCTCTTGAGTTGTTGTTCTACCTTACTAGCTTGATGCACTAAATCCTCCAACTCCACATAATTTTGCAACTCCACAACATCCCTTATGTCACTATTCAGTCCATGCAAGAAACGTGCCATAGTAGCCTCCCGTTCTTCACTAACATTTGTTCTAATCAAGGAAACCTCCATCTCTTTATAATACTCATCTACACTCTTGTTACCTTGTGTAAGCCGTTGAAGTTTATTGTGAAGGTCTCTATGATAATGGGAAGGAACAAATCTTCTTCTCATTAGCCTTTTCATCTCCACCCAACTATCCACCAATGGTTCTTCATATCTTACCCTCTCCTTTTGCAATTGGTCCCACCAAATGAGAGCATAATCACTAAACTCCATGGCTGCCACATTCATTTTCTTTTCTTCAGTATAGTTGTGACATGAAAATAAATGCTCAATCTTCATTTCCCACTCCAAATAGGCCTCCGGATCACTTTTTCCTTTAAAAGATGGTATATTAAGCTTCACCCCCTTAATTATATCCTCTCTAGCAACATCCTCATTATCTCTTCTCCTTCTATCAACCCTTCTTCTACCTCCATCATCATCATGAGTCCCTTGATTTTCTAAGTGCTCAATTCTCTCATATAAGTCCTCTGTTTGCTCCCTCATCATCGTTTGCATTCGATCCATAATGGCATCGATTAGCAACCTGTTTTCTCTCTCACGAGGAGGGCTACCTTTACCACCTGCACCTGCCATAATTCAAGGAAAAGAACAAGAATAAAAGAAATTGGACCTCACCACTCGCTCATGTGTTTACACTCTTAAAATGTATCACTCGTGTTTGTTGCTCTCTATTAGGCTTTAGTGTAATGTGCTCTCTTGCCTTTTTCCTCTCAATAGCTCTCTTTAAGTTCTTAACAGAATCTCCAAGAACACTCAAGAGTACAATCCCAAACTCAAGAATTCGTAATGACACAATACAAATTGGAAATATGTCAAAGAAGGCAAGACAAAGAAAACCAAACCAAATTGAAGGAATTATTCAAGGAAGACACTTTGGACCTGATTTGAGAGTAGTAGTGTGTAACTAAGCTTAAATAACAAGTAGTTGTATATATATATATATATATATATATATATATATATATTATAAAACCTGACGCTTCAATAAAATGGATTTTGTAATTTTGGAATGAAAAATTCAGATTGCAGTAATGCTAAACTGAATTTGATTGAATTCTCCACAAAACAAGCTATTATTTAACACACTAACAACATACTACTCAAGGAACAAGGATTGAAAGGATTAAAAATCAAGAACAATGATGAACATAGGACGAACCTTAAGAACACAAGTGCATAAATTATGAACACAACAAGAAATTGAAACAAACAGAATATCAAAGGAACAAATTAGGAACCAACAACAAAGGCTAAAACATAATTGCACAATTCAAAATTAAAAACACAAATACTAGGGATTAGGGTTACCAAATGTGTGATCAGAATTGATGGAAACAATGGAGAAAATCAAACCCAATTCCAATCCTAGAACTGAGTTCTGATTACCACATGATATGATCCCCAATAGGAATGGAGGAATGGATCTACTAGGAATGGAAATTCTAACCCCAAATTCATCCACCAACACGACCTGTTAAGAACAGAGCGTATCTTACGCTACAGACCTCGGATTCGGGTGATTCCAAAACGAGGTGAAAGATGGCTTCCTGAATCACGATTTTGGCACAAGAATCACCGGAAAAGGATAAGGAATTCGAGAGATATGAATCCAAGATAATAAGAACGAAATTGGAGTTTAAGGATTATAGGTAGGCGCCACAATTCCAAAGAATTGATAAGCCCAAGAACGCCACAAGGATTGATGCCCTTGATAAGTTCAGAGATTCTCAAAAGAACCCAAGAGAACTAGTCTCACCAAAATAGGTTAACTTGATATTCCAAATTTGTCCTCAAAAGCCATGGTGTTCCCTTATATAGTGGGCCCATATTGAGTTTAACCTAAAAGTGCTTATACATAAAAAAAAATAGACAGCCCAATAATCCAGCCCAATAAGCCTTATTACAAAAAGTTTAACTAAATATAAGAAAATAAAAATTAAGTGCAGAATTTGGGCCAAGTAAAATAAAGCCTTCATGCATATCCATTGAGGCTTATTCTTCAAGGTCTTCAATTTGAATTAAGTGTATCATTTTGGGCTCTTCTTCCTTTAGACTTGGGCTTGCCTCAAGTAAAGTGGTCACCAAAAGATTTAGAGTCTCTTTAGCCTTTTTAGCTTTTGCTCTTGTCATTGGGCCTCTAAGACCTTGTATGTCCTCCAAGTTTGTTGTCTAGGTCATGCCACCTCCTATGTCCTCATCAGAACCTAAAACCTATTCCCAAGCCATTAAACATCCTGAGTGGCAAAAGGCTATGACAGATGAACTTTCAGCTCTTGAATTGAATAGCACATGGTCCATTGTTGATTTACCAGATGGCAAGGTCCCAATTGGTTGTAAATGGGTGTATAAGATCAAACTCAAATACAATGGTGAAGTGGAAAGATTCAACGCACGGCTTGTAGCAAAGGGTTTCACTCAATTAGAAGGTGTTGATTATTTCGACACTTTCTCCCCAGTTGCCAAGCTAACCTCCATTCGTGCTCTCCTTGCCATAGCAGCAGCCAAAGGCTGGATTCTAGAACAGCTTGACGTGAACAATGCACTCTTGCACGGTGATCTTCATGAGGAGGTATATATGGAGCTTCCCTCTGGTTTGTTGAATGAGAAACCGAACCAGGTATGCCGCTTGAACAAGTCTCTCTATGGTTTAAAGCAGGCAAGTAGGCAATGGTATAGCAAGCTTTCTTCTGCCTTACTTTCTTTGGGATATGTCCAGGGTCATGCTGACCATTCTATGTTCATTCTTAAGACATCCTCCTCATTCACAGTTCTACTTGTTTATGTTGATGATATTGTTCTATGTGGAGACTTTTCTGCTGAAATTCGTCGAGTTAAAGATTTTCTTCATGCTCAATTCAAGATCAAGGACTTGGGTTCACTCCGTTTCTTCTTAGGACTTGAGGTTGCTCGCACTCCTAAAGGAATTCTACTCAATCAACGCAAGTATGCGTTGGAAATCTTATCTGACATGGGTTTCCTCGCTTCCAAACCTTCACAGTCACCTATGGATGCTAATTCACGACTCAGTCGTGATCAAGGTACTCTTGTTGATGATCCAGCTGAATACATGCGTCTAGTTGGTCGCTTATTATACTTAACCACTACACGTCCTGATTTGTGCTATGTTGTTCAACAACTCAGCCAATTTGTGGCTCATTCTCTTGACACACATCTTCGCGCAGCACACAGGGTTCTGCGTTACATTAAACATGCTCCTTCCACTGGTATTTTCCTTCCTGCTGATTCCAATATCAGCATTCGAGCCTTTGCAGACGCGGATTGGGCGTGCTGCCCTGACACCCGTCGTTCTGTCACTGGTCTCTGTATTTACATTGGCTCTTCCTTAATCACTTGGCGATCCAAAAAGCAAACTACCGTTTCCAGGTCTTCTTCCGAAGCAGAATATCGAGCATTGGCAATGTTATCTTGTGAGCTTCAGTGGCTTCAATACCTCTTCTTTGATCTGCATCTGCCTTGGAGTACACCAGCATCGGTTTATTGTGATAACCGCTCTGCCATTTATTTGGCTCACAATCCTGCGTTCCATGAGAGGTCAAAGCACATTGAATTGGATTGTCATGTGACTAGGGAGAAACTTCGTTCTGGTCTTCTTCGTTTGCTTCTTGTTTCTACACGGGCTCAAGTTGCTGACATTTTTACAAAACCTTTATCAGTTCCTCAGTTTCACACTTTCTTCTCCAAGCTGGGACTTCTCGATGTCCATCGTCCCACTTGTGGGGGGTAACACAGATATCCATTTCTGATCATGCCACGTCGGCTACATCAGAGCAAAACTTGCTTCCAACTAATCATGACAGATCAGCATAGCAGTTGAATCTGTTAGGATATAGATTTCAGTTATTTTCTGTTAACTGTTATTTTAGCTTTTCCCTCCTTATTCTTTATTCCAATTGTATATGGTATATATGTAAATGATCAATCAATGGATAAGCTAAGCAATTCACTTTTTCTTTTTTCTCAATGCATTCACTGAAGTTCTCTCAATTCTTCAAGACTATGCGTTCTCCTTTATAGCAGAAAATGGTGGAATCCATAAAGAGGACGATTATCCTTACATTATAGAGGAAGGTACTTGCGAGATGAGAAAGGTAAGCTAACAAATTAAGTCTAACATAGCCATCGTGTGTGTGTGTATATATATATATATATATAGTTCCAATAACGTAATAACTAAACTTTCACTTGTTATTCCAAACCAGGAAGAAACTGAAGTTGTCACCATTAGCGGGTATCATGACGTACCACAAAACAATGAACAGAGCCTATTGAAGGCACTTGCAAACCAACCTCTCAGTGTGGCCATAGAGGCTTCAGGCAGAGATTTCCAATTTTATAGTGGAGTATGTTTAATTATAAAGTAGTTGTTATGGCAATCATGGTTTTTATATGAGAAACTAATTATTAATACCATCAGTGTTGGTATCGGTGCTCTCTTCTGCTTGTACCTTAACCAGATATGATTTTCATCCCAAATTTGTGTTTGGTGTATCAACCTCAGCTTATCAGGTTCTTCTCTTTACGTTTCTTCCTTTTCATGCGAGAATCTTCATTAATTTGATTTTGTTGCTGATTAAGTATTAAACCATATATATATATATGGGAATTGGGGTAATGTGATAGGTTGAAGGTGCAGCAAGTGAAGATGGAAGGATGCCAAGCATATGGGATATCTTCGCCCATGTTGGAAATGGTACTGTACTGTACTCACATATAATATACTTAATTTCTTAATTTTCTTATTTTCTTAATTTCTTCGACCATGCAGCTTTGCTTCACATACTTTTGTGTTGGGTTCTTGTTTTCAAATCTAGGCTTGGAAGCAAAGCTTACAGAGCCTTCGATCTCGAAAACATGGTACTCTGTCTTCTCTTCAATTGATTTAATTTACTTTACTTACTTCTGTTCATTCCCACTACCAACCTCCGAACCAGAACGTCTCAATTGATTTTATGATTTTTTATTTTTATCTTTTTTATATATTTTTGGTTTATACCATATAGATGGATCAACTAAGGAATCTAGAATGGATTTTGTTATTGATGTATATATTCTTGAGTTTCTGGAAGAATGGTTATTGATTTATGTATTGCTTTAAATTGCGGATGACTGGTAGTGCTAAAAGTTGTTAAAACGCTTACTGGTTAGAATTATTAAACTGAAACTTAGAACATTTGGTTCTTGAATTAATTATGATAAATGTTCTTGAATTAATTATTAAAGCAATTTTACAGATTTCGATATTGGGTTCCATGGAAGATGGAGAGATAAGCATATCTGCTTATGACACAGTTTAGGCATAAAATCTATGAAGCAGAAGGCATTGTCTACTGTGACAGGTATATTGAATAAACTATTATAGTGAACAAAGGTAAAGGTGCATTGTAGGTGGTGGAAAATATTAATAAAGTAGTGTTGACGTTTCTTATCTTTTTTGTGAGACAGGAGTGGAAGAAGTGAATGCAGATAGTAAGACAAGTAAAGTAGTAGTGTTAAAGAAGCGCAGGCTTGATGAGTAACCATCTAAACACCAAATACCATGCTTTGGTTTCCATTCTTTGTCATTGGTTCAAATGGAAATTCAATTGCCTTGTTCCAAGTGCTGTTTGATTATGAGATTTACCAAAGTCAATTCATTAATGATTATAACAAATCTATTTGCTCACATTCGAATCTGATGTCAGTTTGAGTTACTTGCAAAAGTAAGTCACGTTGTATTAAATCAATTATGGTAGTTGTATAATATTTTTTTTTCATTATTCTTTATACAAGTACAATCATTTAACTAATAAAGTTTTTATTTTATGGGGAGCTAATGCTAGAATCTAATAACTTGTTGCTTGTAAATTCTTCGAATTATGTCCAGGTCAAAATCGGGTTTGAGGTGTGGAAGAATTAATTTCTTCAGCAACAGGTGTTTGGATAATTTCTTTGGTTTTCAAAATAAATTATGGTTAATGAGATTCATTTTGCGATAAGTAAATTTTAAGTGTGGGTTGAATTTTTTTCAAATAACAAATAAATTTATACTTGAAATGCTTTTATTATTCAAATAAAATCATTTCTCGTAAGCTCATTTTTTTTAAATATAATAAAGAGATTGTGGAGGTCTATGCCCTCCAAGAAATGATAAATGATGTGGGGGTCTATGAGTGACAGAAAGTCAAACATATTGTGAAGGTTAGTAAACCTCCAGAAACATAACATTTGTGGAGGTCTGGAACCTTCAAAAAATGCAATATTTGTGGAGGTCTAGACTCTCCAGAAAATATTTTAACAAATTGTGGCATTGCACACAAAGCCCCCACAAAATGTGTTGTGGCGCATGCGAAACTGGAGGTTGGTATGAATGTCACAAAAGTCTTTTGTGAGGTCAAAGACCTCCACAATTTGCAAATCTGACCCCACAAAATACCTTAATTTTTGTAGTGTAGTCAATTTACTTAACAAATATTCTAATACTACTTTCTTGTTTGAATAACTTTCAGGATTATAAAGAAGATTGATTACGAAGATATTTAAATTATTTCAATTTGAAAGAGTAAAACTTCAACCTCCAAACATTCTCCTAATTATAAAATATTAAAATAAAAGAGAAGAACTTTTTGCCTTTAGGAAACTAAAAATCATGGAATATCATTTTCTTTAAGTAATTATAATAATTATTAAAAGTAATTCATTAAAAGGATTTTAAAATATTCAAAAATAGTAAAATTATATTCTCCTATCATCCTTATAAGTTATAATAACCCGGACAATTAAAGTATGTCAATCAGGAGTGCTAAACGAACTAGGGGTCTTTGTCTCAACTCGTGAAGGCCTGAGTTTACATGTTTAAAATTGGTTGTTGGCACCAGGCTTAAACTCGTATAAAAGCTTGTTTAATAAAAAGGCCCCAGGCTCCAATTCAAAAGCTCAGCCTTAGAGCCTCTCAGGTTGGCCTCTTATATTATTATTATTTTTTTATATTTTTTATACTACTTGTAATAGCCCTCTCTTTTTCCTCAATCCATTTCATCCCATTTTGTTGGTTAAACAGACTTTTTGAATGATTTTGTTCTATATTATGTTGTTTTGATATATATTGAATTTATGTAATTACTAGTGTTGTTGATTGTATATTCTGTTTGGATAAATTTTTATTATCTTATTTTTTAAACAGCCTAAACCAGGCTTTTATTTTTTGTAAATAAGTCAGGCTACATGCCGATAATTATATTTATAACATGTAACGGACTTGGTCAGACTAACACATTTAAATACAGGTTTAGCCTTTTAAAATCAAAGCTCGGCTCGACTCGGCCCATTAACACTCCTAATGTCAATGAGGATTCTTTAGCAATTAAAGTGGACTAAATAGATGAAAAATCTAATTAGTGAGGTAAGTCACTTTTCGGTGTAAAATTACAAATAGTGAAAGTTTTGGAATAAAAATCCAATTAGGAAAAATTACTCGAAACATAATAATAAATTAGTGAAACCCATTTGATATAAGTTTGTAAGTCTAAATTTAGTAGCCTTTGGATTAAAATGATGTGTCTGAGATTAAATGAGAAAATGACACTTCAGAGAGAGTTGAAAAGTCAATAAGACAATAAAAGTTCCTTTTCTTTTAAAACAATACTCTCTTTCCTTTCTTCTTATTTTCTCTTCTTCTCTATAGGACTTTTCTTTCATTTTCTCTCATTATGGCCGAGACAATCTTCTCCATTCATGAGGGATTTTCAGCCAAGTCATGACAGGACCACCACTCACCATAAGTTCTTCATCTTTCCATCAACTAGGTTTATTCCTTGAAGCATGAAACTAAAGAGTGGAGCTCCCTTCCTCTATGATCAACTATAGGCGCTACCTAGGGTAGAGGAAAAAGGAAGATTCTTCACTTTGAGGCTTAGAAATACCATTCTCTATTTGAGGTATGGGTATGTGAACTCTTTTTTATTTTCTAAGTTCATGAGTTAGGGTTGATTTAAATTAGGGGGTTTTGTGATTGTGAGTTGAATTAATGAAATTGGTGGTTGCTTTATATGTTTATGACACGAGGGAATATTGATTGGGTGCTAACATGGCTTAGGAGATGTTTATTTCGTGATAAATGATGAATTTTGGTCAAATTCTGGGCTCTATTGAGTATTTCCTGAGTAAATTTCGGTGCTTGCCCAATTAAAGTGTTCATCAGTGTTTTACCCGAGTAAATACCTTGTTTTACCTAAGTAAATTGTCTTGTTTACTCGAGTAAGTGAGTAGTGAACAATGACGTACACATGAATAGTGTCGTATGTCTTATTATGATATGATATATGTGATTGTTGCCTTTCATGGGTATGGTAGTGTGACCTCCATGAGTTTGTATATTTATGGTATTAGGACCTCCATGAGGGTAGCCGCCTATGAGATAGATAAGCTCATGAAAGGACCATATCAGATAGGGACTCTCCATGGGTATGGCATTATGGCCTCCACGAGGGTAGCCGCCTAGGGGACGATTCAGAAGTCTCTCGAGAGTTCCTTGGATATGTGATATGTAACTATGTAAAAATAGAATTATGAAAATACTATCTTTATGTTTTTCCTATACAGTAAATAAACAATAGGGCAAAGTGACTCTCCAAGGGCCTTTAGTTTATTGAGATTCACATTTTATCCCTGTTGGGAATTTCATTCCAGGTACCACGATGGTGAGCGCTCCTCATTAAGCAAGAGATGCCTTAGAGTGCTTGACATATTGACATTTGATATAATTTGATGTATATGTATTGTGGCATGTAGCCTTGATCATGTTGAAGAATCCACTTGACATTGTGTATATTTTGAGAATTCATATGAGTATGTATTTTGGAGACCTAGAGATGGGAAATGTGTTATTTGCATTATTCTTATTATGTATTTTGAGTGGAGAGGGCTCATGCATATGTATTTTGGACATTGCCACATGAATATGTAATGGACAATATGATGAATTATGATGAACATTGATGATGTAAAGAAATGGACATGTATAATGTATTTATGATTCTATTATATTGGATATGTTCTAAGTAGATGAGAAATTATGTTTGAGCCTTTTAGGCATACAGCAGAATGATGCACCCATAATGATTGAAAATAAGACTTATAAATATCAAGAATGGAATTATAATGATGAGATTTATATTTATGATGTATATTTAAATTTTTGATGGTAATATTTGAAAGATGGAAGTATATAGATTTCATGACAATGAAATGATAGGTGGTTGAAATCCTATGCCAATATTGTTAGTACATAAGTGTCCTAGAGACAATCTGAGAGTTAGATGGAACCATGTACTTCTTTATTGTTATGAATAAATTTTTTGAATAAAAGCATTCTTTATCTTGTTTCATATTGCATGTCTCAAATATTGAATATGAGTAACTGGATAAAGCCCTTGGAATGGAACGAGTGTAACATTGAGGATCTGTGATAGGGATCACGATCATGAGGGCTCAATGACACCACACATCCATTGCCGAAAATATGTTCCTAGTCTAGAGATACCAAGAATGGGCATTGGTGATCTTGGGTAAGACTAGCACGACTCATCTACTTGCATGGAGATGCAAGGAAGAGTCCTTAGGAGCTACAGACATGGATATGTCTTAGCTGACTCGTGTGTGAACCTATTGGAAAATAGCTTGCACTGAATTGACCCACAAAGAGACACTACAAGGAAATCTCACAGATAGTATCAATAGGTAATGTCTCTTATTATTTGGGTGTGTTTTTCCTTAGACCTGACGTTGTCATATAGACCTGTGCTCTGGTAGGCTTACTTTGATTGTATACCTTGTCTGCTTGAAACATGGAGACTCGTAGGTGTACTCTTAGGCATGTCCTAAGGACTCAGGGCTAGTGTCACAAACTGAAGGAATCGTCAATCTCTGTGAGAGATTAGGTTATTCGTAGATCGGTTAAACTGGGATGACATTTACGGGACTTGAGAATCTATGCATAGTAAATGAGTCATGAGATAGCCCACTCTTTAGAGTCCGTAAATGAAGACTCCCTATTTCGGCAAAAGCAAACCCTAGACCACAGGGGTTGATACGTTTTCCTTGACCTAGGTCAATGGGACGAATAACCGAGACAAAAGGACAATTCACACGGTAATTAAATAGGTATAACAGGTTGATCATTCGATGAACTCAACTAGCTTTGGGACAACAAAGCATTACTAGTGCTCTATGTTGTCATTAGATGGATTGGGCCTAATGGGACCAAGCGCATTTATGTCAGTGGCTATGTTGGGCCTGATGGGTCACACACAAACACCTTAAGTTGTTTTGAATTCTAGCATATGTGGTTTAGGCCCAATAAGTGATAATGGGCCTAAGTTGGTAAAGCCCACGTATTGGGCCAAGAGAGGGTAGATGGCATCATGGGCCATGTTGGACTTGATCCATGACGTAACCTAATTAATTTAAATTTTAAATTAATAAAATTAATTAGAATTCTATTTTTGAATTTTGAATTTAAATAAAAGTGATTTGAATTCTAATTTTGAATTTCGATTTTGAAATTTGAAATTTGAATTTAAATATAGTCATTGAATTAGATTTATTAAATTAGATTTAATGAAAATAGAGAAAATAAAGGAAGCCAATCAATTAGATTGATTGACCAAAATTAAGAAAATCAATTAACTAAGTTAATTACTGAAATTGGGAAAACAATCAATTAGATTGATTGGATGAA